TTTAACGCCATTGTTACGATTACATAAAAATCAAATGTTAGAGTTTGATTACAATGCAAACATTCGTTATATTACATTATTTTTTAAATAAAAATCTAAATATGAAAGTAGTATATAATTAATTGACCAGTTAATGATTGAATCAGGTTTCAACCGGTTTCATTAAATTTGAACTTTCACAATCAACCGGTTTTATTAAAACCAGTTTTCAGATCTGAAAAAATCAGACCCAGTTTTATGTTGCAACCGGTTTAAACTGAATTTAAATTGAATTATGCTAAACCGGTTCCAACCTCTAATTGCATATTCACCTGCTGAATCTAAAATAAAACAGTTTATTTTAATATTTTTTTTAGTATTAACTATTATTTTTAATATGATTGATTACATTATCAGATTTTAATCTTTTATCATTAATATTACTTATATCTCAAATAAAAAATTTTTCTGTTAAATTTAATTAAATAAATACTTTTATTTAATGTTAGTCTATTTATCAAAAGTTACAGTTATATTAATTTTATCATTTTATGTTATTTTTATAATTGTTTATATTAAAATTTCAGTAGATTTGATAAAATTTTATCACTTATTTTTCATCAGTCTGATAATTTAAAGCTGAAATAATAAAAGCAAAAACATTCTTATTTTTTAATTTTCAAGAAAAATAAAGAATAATCCATTTGAAATTAACATTTTATAAAAGTAAAATTTCAAATATAGCATATCTCTTTTCGTTAAAAATCATGATACATAATTTGTAATATATTGTTAAATTATTAGCTGATAGTTTTGATGAATTTATTATCAATTCTTCTTTATTTTTTGAATCAGATAATAATTCATTATCTATAATTAAAAAAAAATGTATATGATAAATTAATTAAAATTTTTACTTTTACTAAATTTTATTATAATATTATTTATAGTATTTAATTTATCTTTGATTATTATATATTTTTTTCTTTCTTGTCAATTTTTTGTTATCAGCAAACTTTTCTGAATGAAATCTATAGCTACAAAAAAACATGATAAAGTATGAAGATGAAAATATAAAATGGATATCACTAATGTTAGAACCTAATGAAAGAAAATAATTCTCGTAACACATGATGAGTATATATTTTATTCAAATGATGAAAAACTAGATATATGAATAAAATCCAAAGAATTGCCAATATATAAGAAAGAAAATAGTTGTTCTATTATGCTTAGTTTGTTCTTGACAGAAGAATGTAATCGACTTAAATTGAATTCACAACAATATCAACAAAATCTTAGAAGCTCAAGTTTATCTTTAACTGTAAAAAGATCAGAAAGGTTTTTAGATAAGCGAACATCTAATTGAACAAGTGAAAAAAAAGGTTATACCAATTTTTGGCAAGCAATTGAAGATGAGGGACACAGTTTTTGAATAAGATAATCAACATAAATCAATAGTCAATGAGAATAATGAACTAAAGAAAATGAAACAGATGTTAATTAAGTATAGATTGTGAAAAGATAGGTTAAATGCTGATTATAAGCTATGTAAGAATAAGATTGAAGATATAAATCAGATAGATTGTTATACATGAAAAATCATTTAATTACAATCAGATTTTCTATTCCATTAAAGCATGTTAGAAAAAACAATACTAAAAGCTGAGCATAAATATATATTTTATCTGAAATTTCACTGTAAATTAAACTATATTGAAAGATACTAGAAGGCAAAAAAATATGTTTGGGAAATTGTGATTATTCTTAATCAGGTTTGCAATATGTTGTTCCTGCAATCTTGAAGTCCATTAGTATAATTATAATAAGAAAATTTGCTAGGAAGACGTGATGTTATATAGATTTGTATAAAAAAAGAATAACTGGTAAATTGGTAGAATATGCTGCCAAAAAGTATAAATCTCACTGTTGTATTCCTAAATATATATTGGCAGAATTAAATAAAATGCAATAATAAAATGCTAATAGCTTTGCAATATAAATGCAAGGTCTTGTGAATGAATACTAATCATGTGAATAAATACTAAATCATATCTTCTCCAGTATGACCAGAAAATTTTTTCACCCCACATGACTTCAATAATTTGTCATTCTGTATCACACCCTCAAGTTTTCAATTTTACTATATATTCCAGGGACTTAGAATTTTTTCGGTGTTTAAAAACCTATTTGTCACACCATATTCGTCACATGGTTAATTTCATAATTTCGTAATGCCGGCCAGGGGTGAAAATATTTTTCTGGCGATACTGGGGTAGATCTAAATCATGTGAATATCACGTGAGGATCGATCGAAATTTCGGACTAATGCGGTTTATAGATGACGGCCCACCATAGTTTATTAGATTAAAATTCATCTAATAGTAATTAAAATTAAAAATTATTTATTATAAAAATTATTTAGACTATTAAGATCTATTAAATAGTAGTATTTTTATATTTTTGATATTAATAGATAATAATTTAAATTTTCACTAATGCGAATCTTAACAAGAATGTTTTCTTTAGAAAATACTGCCCTTGATAGAATTTGTGGAGGTTTGAGGCTAGCAATTGGTAGCTCAAGGTGTTTTCGATGTGAACTAGCCAGAAAGGAAGTGATGGAGGTAAAACAGTTGCTGTGATGCATGGAAGACAGAAAGCTTTTTTCATTGCAAGATCCCCTATATTTGTGGTGTTCGGTAAAAATCGCTGTTTTTGTCTGTTCCATCTGATTGTTTGGTCATTAATTGGTTTAAGCCATCCACAACCAGAAAAATAGTACAATTCTCTAATTTTTTCTTACAATTAATTCGAAAAATATCAGATGGATAGGTGCTTCATAATCGTTAATTACGGATTCCAAATTTTGAGCAAGACATTGACAAAGCACAAAGCATCCTAGTGCCAATGGCGGTAATTCCTATCTCAACAGATGAACCATTTTCGAAACTGATACGAAAAACCCAAGCATTGGCTACATGAACTCTTAATGCTGTGTGCTCTGATAATGAATTCAAAACGGACATATGAAATTCGTTCGCGTTTCGCGACTTGCCAGTACCGGCCCCAGCCAGAAACAAATAGGTTTGCATGTGAACTTTGTCCCGTTGATATTCACAGTAACACTTAGGAACTTCCCTTGCAAGCATTGTTCGTAAATCATCACTCAATTGGAAATCCCAGCTAGCATAACTAACTGAGGTGGTTCTCCCATCGGTAAACCATCTGGAAAAGCTTCCTTAACCTTTTGCTTTCCTGACATAAATTGTAAAAAAAAACACGTATTATGTCCCACAAATGATAAATAAATAAAAGAGATTGGATCGAATGAAAATAATTTTTTGTATATATATATATATTTTTATGTAATTTGTTTACTTATATTATTAAAATCAGCCAATTTTTTCTGTAAATACAGCATTTGATCTTCCAACTTCTTTTTGTATCCTCCAACTTATCTATTTCTTCATACAATCTGTTCATGCGTCCTTTCAAATTCGTATTATTTTCTTTACTCAACTCCCCCCTCTATCTACTCTATTTCCCACTCATCCAGCTTCTTCCCCATATATTTTTCTTCCTTCCACATCTTCAAATCTTCGTTTTTCACCTTTTCTAATTTCATTTTAATTTCTTTGTACGTTTGCCATTTAAAAAAAATTTTTTTTTCGTTTCTATGCAGAATTTCGACCAATGATAAATTAGTTGACACGTGACTTTAAATTTTAGGGCTAATCAAAAAATACCAGTTAATTTACAAGTTTACAAGTGAATTTATTTATTTTTTTTTTTTTTTAATTATTACTTTAAAATTTCACAAATTTAAAAATCAATAAATTTGTATTATTATTAACTGAATAAACCATTCTTCAAGATTTTTAGTATTAAAAAAAATACATGTATATAAAGCATATTTGTACTCTGATTTAGAATATCTTAAGTTAAATACTAAAAAATATATATTTATTATTACGCTGTATAACTAATGAATTCATTAGTTGTGGTGATTGTTCTATTAATTATAAAAATCAATAATAACTAGACTTTCTATAAATAAATTCGATGTTTAATTTGGAAAGCTAAAAAATATAACAAAACGATCTCTATGAACATTTTCAGCCTGATTGATTTCTTCACCATTGTCTTCAGTATGAAATATACGACGAGAAGGTAAAACCATGATATGATCCATAGCGACATTCCTCTCTTCTCCATTCTCGTTTCCCTCATTATCATTCTCCTCATTATAATTTCCCTCAATTCCCTCATCTTCATGATCATTCTCTTCACCATTCTCTTCATCTTCTTTAATTGAACGATTTGAAATACCGTATGAAGGTTCGGGTATTTTTAATATATATTGAGAAGGATCTAAACCCAACTCTTCAATAAGACCTAGATTAAATTTATGTAACTTTTTACGAAAACAATTATGATCTGTAGATGCGAAAGTAATGTGAACATTTCTCATTTTTAATGACCAATCCGTTGTTGATCTATATGGTTTTAACGGAGGAAATCGATCGACTCTAACTTGTCCTTCACTTGTAAATGTCCACTTGATAGGAGGGAAATTTGATTAATTATTTGTGAGAAATCGTGTTCAAAAAAGAGATTAAATCGTTTAAGATACCAACCGGTAATTGACCTCCCATCATTTCACGATGAGTATATATTCCATTTCGATGAAATTTTGGTGTCCCAATATGTGGAATTTCAACACTATTAAACTGTTCAATAAAAAGAATTGCAGTTATTGAATATAGAATTTAATTTATTTATAAATTTTCTCAAAAATATAATTAAAAATTAATAATTTCCTATCTTTCGGGGTGAAAAATATTAAATAATTGACAAACCTACAGAAATTCGTGATTTAAATCAAATATTTTACCTTAAAACACCACGTAGTTTCAGCCAAGTCATCGATATTAAATTTACTCCTTCTAGCTTCTTGCTCAATTAACCCATAAACTTTTTTCCAAGTTCCTGCCTTTCTAAACCAAATTTCATGAGGTTCTGAATGTATTTCTTTCATACCTTGTTTACCTTCCCAACGTTTTAAAGCCAATTGACTCCAAACATGGTTATCAATAGCAAAAGATTTACACCCTTTTGATACTAGTGATAATGAACACAATGTTTTTGAATCGAATTCTTTAAATATTGCTAGAAAAATTTCAGAAGGTAATCGATTTGTAAACTCCATTTAATAAATTAGAAATTTGATATGAATCTAACAAAATATAATATTTTTTTTGGATTAATGCTTTGCTAATATGGGAAAACCGTGTATATTTCCTTTTATGAGAAATACGACATGGTTCCACGAAATTTCTTGAAAAGCAAGTTAGATCGGGTAATACTAAATTAGCCCGAAAGAATAATTTTCCCAATTCCAGTTTATTATTCATAGTCTTCAATAATTTTAATAATTTTCTTTCATTTTCACACGATGCTGCGGAGTGGATTGAAGATTTTATCCAAGAAAAGTGTAAATCATATGTGGGTGAATAAAAAAAGAATGATATTCCAGGTAACGATGATGTAAATAAAAATATCTATATAAGGAATGCCTTTTTATTGAAATACTTTTTTTTTTCTTCCTTTTTGAAAGACAGTTCGTAACAATATGAAGGTCATTCCAATTCCAGGTTGGTGTTTTATGATCATGTCTTCGATGCATTGTTGAAAGTTAATTGACGTTATTTATTGAATAATTAGTTCTTGATGATAACTATTCTTATCTAATTATTGATGAAAAAACAAATGAAGGTTTGTGGTTATGATTCTTCTCTTCGTATTGATGTTTTTTAATATCTGGTGTCAATTAAACGTTAAACACCTACATATAATAGCTGCCGTTGTTGACCCAGTAGAACCAAAAAAAGTTCTTGCGGTTGTACAAGAACAAAGTGCCAATCTCAAACATTTGATCACAACGCATCATCACGCCGTAAGTTTTTTTTTTGTTTTGTTTAATTTCGATCGATTTGACATATAAATATTTAGTATCCTTTATATAGGACCATTCTGGTGGAAATGATGAATTATTTTCAGAAAGAAAAGATTTAATTGTTTATGGAGGTGATAATCGTATTCCAGCTGTGACCAAGATCGTAAAAGATAATGAAGAATTTAAAATTGGTCAAATCAATGTAAAGGCTTTATTTACTATCTGTCATACTAGCGCAAGTGTTAGTTTTTATTTACAAGATGAAAAAGATAAAGCTGTATTTACTGGTAAAACAAATATTTAAAATTTTTATCAATTTATTTGTTCGGTTAAATAAGAAAGTTAACTATTTAAAAAAACTCTTTTAGGTGACACGCTTTTCATTGGAGGATGTGGTAGATTTTTTGAGGGTACAGCAGAACAAATGCATAATTCATTAAATAATATTTTAGCAAAGTTACCTGAAAACACAAAGGTTTATTGTGGTCATGAGTATACTTCGAGTAATTTAAGGTTTGCTGATTCTGTTGAACCTGATAATGATTTCCTTCAGCAAAAAATTCAATGGGTAAAAGATCATAAACAAACTGTACCAAGTACTATTGGTGATGAATTGAAATTTAATCCTTTTATGAGAGTTGATAAAGATTCTATCAGAAAAGCTACTGGTAAACAAGATCCTATTCAAGTTATGGCTAAATTAAGAGAAATGAAAAATAATTTTAAGTAAATAATGTATATAAGTTAAATAAAAAAAATATTTCTAGGTTTTAGGAATTTTAAATATATTTATTGGTTGTTTTTAAAATTAATAAGTTAATGTTGCCGATAAAAATCACGTACTTTTCCTTTTTCGGAACACCGACCACTTTACCAAGAGCGATAATCAAAGTTCTCATTTTACATTTGTTTCAATCGTACGACCATTCGTATGACCTAAAGATTACGTTCGGAGAAGCGCAATCTGAGTAATGATAAAACCCAAGTTAATCACTATGCTACTAATTTTTGTCGAATTATCTATATTATTTGCTGTATTACGTCACAACAAGCCACCAAAAGTTTATGCAACTATCAAGAGTCTATAGTTGAAGAATTTTTCTTCCCTCCCCGTCATAAAAACAAATAAGGAAATAGTGTAACATAATCATGTGATATCATGTGACAAAATATTTATTAAATTTTATTTAATAACGATAAATTATATAAATCCAATAAAGCAATTTACTAATTTTATTTGTTTTAAAAATCATTACATATTATTAAATTAATTTTAAATGTAAGATGATCCTGATTTCAAGGTTGTAAATTCCTTATTCCATCCTTTTACATTTATCATCTATTTTATTAGAAGATTAATTCAAACTTTTGAGTTCTTTTAATACATTATGATTTTTTTATCAAAATCGCAAATTGTTTATTTTGAATTACTTGTATTCTTTTCTCTTTCATTTAAATACATAATCTTAACATATTTTTTTATATATGTTTTTGTTGAAAAATACTTTTCTAAAACTCTGAATCAGGTTAGACCAACCTGTTTACCTGAGTAGATTTTCCAATCATTTTTCTTAAATGATTTATTATCATTAAATCAGAAATAATAGAGTTGATTAATAAATTAATAATTGTTTATGATATTATTATTTATATTAAATATTTTTTAATATTATTTAATGAGTAAATTTTCTTTTTTAGATTAGATCATGTCAATTTAGGTAAACTTAACCTGATAGGTTAACTAATCAAATTATATATATAATTAATATATTTAAAATTTATCATTTAAATAATATTTATTTAAAAAATATATTTTTTTTTAAGTATAATAGTTTTGCTTAATCTTTATTAAATTTAAAATAAAAATAATACAAATAAAACAAAATACAAATTTAAAAAAATACAAAAATCTCTATTTAATATAAACTAAATTAAGACTAACCTTACATTTTTTCAGAATCTATTTCTAACCTAAGCTAAAAAATATTACTTTTCAGTAATTTAAAAGAAGAAAGAGGATTTTTTTTATTATAGTACTGAAAATTTATCGAATAAGATCTATAATAAACTATCTTTTCAATAGAATCATTTAATAAAAAATGATAAGAAAAATGCGTAAAAATATATCCAGAGAATACTATATGATTTTTTTTAGATTTGAGGTTAATTTTATAAGGTTTTTCAAAGGTGATTTGTTGAAAATATTTATTTATCCAAATAGTTTATATCTGCTCAAAATAAAATGCATGAAAGTTAATAATATTACTAGAATAAGATTATTCAATCCTATATCTTCTTAACAAAGTGATATAATATGAAACTAATCCTTTTATTAAAGCTAAAAAAAATAGGATAATTATAGAAAGATAATTGTTATATCAGTAAATTATAAAGGTTTAAGACAGAATTATAATTTTTGGTTAAGTCATAAAAGAACATTTATAAGTGAATGATGATTATTTGCATATTACAGTCAGACCTGTCTATAATCACCCTGTTTATAATCACATCCTGTCTATAATCACTTAATTTTAATGTCCC